GCAAGTTTGCCTTATTAAAAAATATCAACTTGCCATAAAATGCTAAATGTAAACCCACCCTTAAAGTAAAAATTTTGTTAACCCTTGTTAGACAAGTTAGTAATGGCAAATAGACTATAGATGTTGAAAAACAGAAGAGGAAATGGCATTCAAAAGAATGGATTTGTTCCCATTTGTCTCTTCTGTGGGGTGGGTAGTTTTTGTTGTCGGTAATGGTGGTTGTGGTTTTTGTTGTTTTTTTTTTTAATTGGAAAGACAGATTTACAGAGAGAAGGGTGACCCCCAAGATGCCCCACAGAATCTGTTCCCAGACCCAGTTCTCTCATGAACTGGTTAGCGTCATGGCCTAGCCTAACATGGTCCACTCCCTGCCCCAACATTCACTAGTGGGTCCGGTGGTAGCGCCCTGCCAGGCAGGCCCCAGCCATAGTTTTTGTGTGCACCAGTAGATGATGGTCAAGATCAATGAGCCCAGATCAGCTCTCCTACACAGGTGGGTATACTGTTTTGGTCCTGAAGGGTCCTCCATCTTCCCTCTAAATTACCCAGGCTCAGCCCCCTCATTTACTTGCAAGTGTAGCCTACAAATAGCCTAGTTGGTGGAAGTCCCCAAGAAGTCATTCCTCACCTGTCACATTCTCCTTTAGTAGCTCTCCCCTCCCACACATCTCCACACCCACTTTGCTGAGCAATCCACAGCCTCCATTGCCTGGTCCTCTGGCAGTGTGCCAGCCTGGGGACCTGTCTGCTTATACAGGGCCCATGCACAATCAGACACGGGTCCCCAGACCCTGTCTGCTGGCATGCCGGCATCTGTCCACAACATATCCTTAAAAAAAAAATAGGTTACTATGCTGGCACACTAGTACAGTTAACACAAATTTGGCATTAATTAGGCCTAGGATGCCTGCCAAGTGTTAGCTGCCTTTCTCCCAGCAGTGTAACATTGCCTAGGTACCATACAACCTAGGCTGTTGCCTATGGCTGGGGGCATTTTAGATTTTCTATTTTTTTCACTTTATTTCATTTGTTAATCATCTCAACAACTTTCCTTTAAATGACATATGTACCTATTTTTAATAATGGCTTTCAGTGTTAACCGGAGCCAGTTTGGTATCCATGGTGTGACAGCAGGTAATTGGTGGCTTATCTCTGGTTTTCACTGCTGCCATAGATTCATCCATACTCCACAAGCGTCGGCTTCACAGCTTTTCTATGGCTTAGAATGAAAAGTAACAGGAAATTTCCTGCAATCAACAAACTGTGCTCCCTCCACTATCATATCGACACAAGGACAGAAATAAACAGCTGTGTGGGCTCTGGTTTCTCCTCTCCTGCTCCCTGGGCTCCACCACAGCTGCTCAAGGGTGATAAGTCAGTCCGAAAGGGAGCAGGGAGTGGAAAACAGGAGCGGGTGAGGATGGGAATTTTCATGTTCTTCAGTCACAAAATCACGCTGTAATAATCACAAATAAAAGATTTCTAACAGACAACAAGGAAAAATGAGCCCCAACAGCAATTCCTAGCATACAGAAACTCAGTTTAAAATCTGCCAGCCGTTTTTGCTTTTTCTGGTGTGTCGAAGGACATAAATTGCCTTTACAGTTAAGCCTTTGAGGGGTAATTCCCTGGTGTTCATGGAAGATAATCCTTTACTATTGGCAATAAAGAAGACTAAGCTACTGACGCACGGTAACAATAAATGTTGCAAACATATTGATACAGATATTCTGATGTCACACAGACTTCTAGAAAAAGACCAAAGTAGAGAATGACAAAAGACATTATTACCTTGATTACTTCCTAAATGGAATGGTAGGGAAGAATAATTGGTTTAGAAGGAAATTTTAATATCTTGATAAGTTTGGATTCTACAAATCTATGTACATTTGTCAAATCTCATGCAATGTCACACATATGATATATGCATATTAACACATATAAGCAAATTTTATCTTAAAATTAAGAACACAGGCACAGAACTCTAATTATATGCATACTAAAATGTCAGGTGAAATGTACTAATAACTGCAATTTTCCTGAAATTGCATTCAAAAGCCAACAGCCATAATGGATAAATGGAGATAAGGACAGATGAACAAATGCACGACCAAGTAAGTGTAGCATATGAGTGGTGGGTGCTTGCTGTGTAATTTTTTCAATTTTCCTCTGTATTAGAAAATTTTTCCTAAGAAAAGGTTGGTGGCTGGGGCCAGAGTATGCCTTGGCAGTTGAGAAATTTGTTCAGACACAGCATCCCATCAGGATGTACAGGTTCTAAGACTCTGGTTAAGATTTTAATTCCCTGGTCATGTTCGACCTTCGAGGCATTGCCTCCAAGGCAGTGATGGAGTGGAGTGGAGTGGAGTGGATGGATGATGGCTGGAGTGACATAGGAGCATCAGATTAAGTTTAACTTTCTGATTCAGCTGCCGTTTTTGAACAAGTTTGCAGAGTGAACCAGCAGATAGAAAATCTCTCTATCTATCTTTCTGTTTCTCTTTCTTTCTTCTATCTTTGAAAGAAATGTAGATAAGAAACAAAAATGTAATATATACATAAGATTTTCATGTAAAAAGCTTACAATGTCACCAGCTTCTCTGAATTATCCCATTAAATACTATTTCCGAGGTTCTTCGTTTGGAAACAATGCATTAGTTATTGAGTTTCTAGAATAACTGATTAAGCAACTATATATCTGATACTGATATTATCTCATTCAATTCTTAAAACCTTTTAAGATCAGATACTGCTTTTGGTGTGAAGATCACATTTTTAATACAATTTGCCCTTTGAGTATAACAAAGTGCAACTGAGTGATAACACCCCATCACAGTGGGCAGGTGTGACTCCATTTTGGTTCCTTCACCAAATTTTGAGCATAGCCAATTGCAAGTTTCGAGCATAGCTAACTGCTGTGTGAACATGCTTGCTAGCTGATTGGCCTAAGACGTGATCTGAATTTAAGTTGATTAGGTACTCAGTGTTGTGTGCTACCTTAGTTGACTGGATGACTACTGCGTGCCAATACAGTGATGCTGTGGTTCCTGGAACGCAGTGAGAGCTACTGTTGAAGTTTAGCTAGCAAAGACTCCTTACTTGCCACACTGTGTCCAGGATGACTGCTCTCACTCTCCCTAACATGAGCTAGGATAACATAAAACACATAGTGTTAATGTCTTGTTGCTCTGGGACGAGAGCAAAGAAATTAAAAAATATTAAATTAAAAAAATTTTAAAAAGCCCTAAAAGCTCCCAAACAGACATTCTGAAGTATCACTTAAGGAAAAAATCAACTATAAAGCAACTGTTGATCTTGACAGACAATAGCTGAACGAGGAGAAACTGCTCCATCTTTGGTTACCCTCAGCGTCCCGAGCATCTGCTTGGTGATTGAGGCCAAGCAAAGTATTCGTTTTTTAAAAAATGAAAGAACTGAAATCACACAACCAGCCTTTCCTGCATTAGTAACTTAAATCCCAGAAATCTGCAAGTGAAGTAGCAAAATGAACAGGAATATTGTCACAGGAAAAGCAATTTGGGGAGATAAAATGTCATACTTGTGGATAAACAACTAAAACCGAGGTAAGATTGTAGAGTCCACAGATGTTAAAGTTGGGTGTTTAACAGGATTCGCTAGATTTTGCCTGAACTTTCTTTAAGCCGAGCAATAGATTACCTTATCCAGAAATGTACAGAGAAATAAAAAAGTTCAGGATGCTTACGTAATTTACCCAGAGCTCAGCAGCTAGAGTAGGGAATGACATTCAGACATAGACCTGTGTAATTGTTTAAAATGTGCTTTTCCTCTATATCACACTGTGATTTATACTTCATGGGAGTTAGCTTATTGGATTATTCTCTAGATATTATACTTATAGGGAGTTAGCTTATTGGATTATTTTCTAGATATGTTACTGACAACTGGCTCTTAAAGAGAATGGCAGATTTCAGCTGCAAAGAGAACAAAGGTATGCACAGCACCACCTAGAAACGGCTTCTCAAGATACTCCAAGGATGGAGTGCCAAGTGACCAGCAACAACTGAAAGAGGAGCCATCCTGTGAGGCAAAAAGTTCAAAGGAAAGAAAAACAGAAAGCACTACAATCAACTCCATGACTTCCCATTTTGTCATCCCACATCTTGTTTCAGTTATTTCCATAGAAAAAAATCTAGGATTACCACAAATCATAGTTTGCCAAGGATGGATCAGGTTTGTGCCTGTTGTCCCTGAATGGTTATTGGGCAAAAGTTTTACTTTGTATTATAAATCATATGATCACCCTATTTAGAAAGCAGAGACACAGAGAGAGGGAGGGAGGGGGAGACAGAGGGAGAGACAGAGAGGCAAGTCATCCATTATGAAAAAAGATACGTCTTATGAGGAGTCTTTTAAGTTGGGTATAATTTTAAGTAAATGTTATGACTGTGATTAAATGATATCATTGTAATTAAAGGGTAGCCAGAAGTATTTTCTGTAGCCATCTTTTTATTTGCCCTGCAGCTAACTCTTTGGCTTATTGCATTTTAGAAAATCAATCCAATTAGGATGACTATTTTATGGACACACTTTGAGCTGGTTGAAATGACCTTGCTCCCTTTTCACTGAGCGCTGATCCAGGCACGTTGCCCAGATTCTCAGTCAATTATTCTCAACCTATCATACTTAAATTATTGTACAAATGCATATTCTATGCTCAGTATGAATTTTCATTTATGCTTTCAAATCTGAAATGGAAAACTATCAACTCTGATTCTTAAGGTTTAGCCTATTCACTTCTTATTTATATCTTAATTTATATGTGAGGTGGAATGCATGGTCATAATGTTTTAAAATGAAATGGGCCAAGGCATATTTCATTTAGCTGCATGTAAAAATGAGATAACATTCCTAAGTTTGTGGTAATATTAGATGGTTACAGTTCATGTGAGTTATTTATACTTGTCAAACTGCTACAAAATGTGTTATCCACATCATGGAAAAGGTGTCCTTTTGCAGAGTGCAAAATCAATTCTGGTTTATTCATGCCAACTGACTGAAAGCCCTGATGGAGGGAATTGGGAGTGCTAAGTACAAATGTTCCCAAAGGTTTTCTGTGAGAGATGGAACCTCTTACACCCATAACATATCATCAATGATCTATGCAACCTTGGATGTACCACCTCATTCCCTAGAAAACTAGAATTAAGATGTTGCGTTGAAGTTCTTTCTGTCAAATTCTAGGAAAAAAAAATCTACTTTGATCAAAGCTTGAAAAAAAAAAGTCATTCTAATACCTTAAAACTTTTTGAATCGTGAACAAGAGAAATTACATTAGGATTATTGGAATGCTTAGTATTGAACAAACATGCTTCCTGGTGTTTTCTTCGTGTTGCAAAATTTGATACTTAAATCATTCTAAAAAGCAGAACAGGAAGAATAACACACCGGAGGACAAGATGTGGAAAAGCCAAAGCTCATACCGTCAGTAAACAATTGGGCCAAGGGTCAAGTCTCAAACCTCCCCAGTTCCATTCCCATGTCACTAAAATAACATGATACCCTGTTTAGCATCCTGCTCCACCTCACTTCAATGTGGAACTGGAACTCTGAAAAACAGTTGTTGGTGTGTTTGTTGTTACTTTATTTGAAATGCAGACAGGGAGGTAGAGAAAAGTCAGACAGAGGGAGCCCTGCCATATGCCAACTTACCTTTGGATGTCTGCAATATTCAGAGGGTTGAAGACAGAAACCAAAGTTAAATTCCAGTCTCTCACATAAATGGCAAGAGCCAATATGGCTGTTTGCTAGGGTCTGCATTAGCAGGTATAGATCAACAGCTCAACCCAGGTATCTTGATGTGGGGTAGGGTGTCCTAATCTTTTGGCCAAGACTTCGTCCTTCTTTCCTTGTTTTGACATGAAGTAAGCATATAGGCATGGCAAATTTTTTCCAATGGAGTTCCACTTCCTAATTTTGAATAACAATCTCAAATAAGAAAGTTAGATGGACTAATATGCTAATAATAATGCTAAAATTTTGATATTATGTGACTTTAATGGGTTGTAAAGCGTTATTCTTTTTATTTCTCAACCATTAAAAGTATGAAAACATCCTTAGCTTGTGATATATATATATATATGTATGTATGTATATATACACATTGAAAAAACAGGCTTCATCCTGAAATTGGCACAGAAGCAGTAGCTTTCTGGCTCCTCCACTAAATCACTCTTGCAGTCGCTTTACAACTGGTAAAACTGTGAAGAAGATATGATTCCAAACTGAATGAGCTTCAGCCAAATGCACTTTGCTGTTGCTGTGAACGTTGACTCTGCAAACTCCCAAGGAAGAAGCTGAGCCATTCATGGAAACAGCAGCTGCCAACATCAGCCACATAGTACAACCGGGACGATCTGTCACCTCACATGAATTACCTCCTCTTGTTGTGAGTTAACCAAATCTATCCCCCAAGAAGGAGTTGGAGGCAGACTCTTAGAAGCTCAGGGGTCTTTATCCACCATCTGGCAGCCTATTCTGTTCCACCGTACTTGGAAGAGGGAAACGGCCCCTACCACTCATGTTCAAGGATTTTTGAGCAACAATCATCCAATCAGCTAGGAGGGCACCGGCACATGGTACAAATCACTCCATCAACTAAGCTTGTGTCAGTGCACAACACAGCTTGCCCAATCAGGTGAGAGCACCCAATCAGCTCACGTGCATGAAACACAAACACCAAATCAGTGTAAGCCTAATGCACTTGAGGCTATCCAATCAGTAAGAGCTACATCCTGTTTAGTAAAGAACAGCTGAACCAGTTAAGCAGGTCCTTCCAGATCTGAGCACAGAAACCAATTTGGGGCAATCAGCTCGCGTGTGAGTTGTCCCTATCACCAGTTTCTATTGTCTGGGCGGTCACACTTTATATGATTGGAAAAATAAAAAATAAAAAAAGCAGACCAGAAAATCAGCAACAGTTACCTAAGATTTAACTACACCTCCTCCAGCGAAGATCACAACTAAATTTTTTCTCCTAAAACAAGCCGATTCAAACGCTTCATGCTCGATAGTTAAAATATACCTCAGACTGGTAAAATATGCATGAGAGAATTCAGACCAGCATTTCTATTTTTCCATCAACAATAAAAGACAGAGCACCTCCATTTCTGTTGAGCTAGATTCATTTTCCTCCTCTCAGAATTTTTGCACCTGGACTGCCCTGTGGTACCTTAGAAAACCGTGAGATCATGCAGGTGCAACTACTGCAAAGTCCTTTTCTGCTCATGGCCAGATCTTTGTCCCTGTCCTCAAATGCCAGGCAGAGCTCTTCACCTTCTCAAGCACAGCCCATGCCCTCCCTCTCCCTGGCTTTCTTTATCCTAGGATGACCTTGCTTCTGTCTCACAGAGAAATGGAAGCTGTCAGAAAGAAGAGTTCTCAACTTCGTGCCCTCTGAGCGACAACTGGCATTAGGATCTCATTTCCTTCCTTCTTTGAAGTTCAGCATCTGAAGCAGCCCTTTGTCTTGCTTCAAGCCAGTCTCTGCACCGTGACACTGAGGTCACCTGCCCTCTCCCACTTCATCTGGCGCAGGGACTTTTACTCATCCATCACATCTGCTCCCCTGGGTTTCAAGAGCCCTCTTCCTATACTCTGCATCCACAGCCTGTAAACACACTTGGCTCTTCCCCAGATGAAAAACAGACACCCATCCCTTCCCACTTGCTGTCATTCTCCAACCGCCCGCCACCTTGAGCTCTCTTGGCCTTCACCTCAGGCCACTCAACACCAACATTCACCACCACAGGCTTTCACGGCCCAACACGGCACAGAGCATCTTAGACAAGTATTCCCTCTCATCCATATCCGCTGCACTAAAGCAGAAGCTTTGCTTATACAGTCTCAATCTACTACTAGTTAATTATTTCATGAGTCTCTGAAAGTTCCCACTGAATTTTGGTCATAAGAAACAGACCATTTTGGTGTAGAAGGTATCTGCATATTATTCCTAAATTTGTGTATTGCCTGTTGAGGAGCAAATGGAAGCAGGCAGATAACAATTCCTCATCTCAAACCAGTGACATAGGAACCACCAGGATTACTTAGATGAGTGCCGTGTATTTAAGGAAACATGGCAATCAAGTATTCACATCTACCTACAGGCTGAGGTGTGCCAGTCAGTGGCCTTGGCAGTTGCATGTTGTTTACTTGCCTTCTGTGCTAACAATGCTTCCTGTGAATCAAAAGAGGGCTGCCCGGCCTGTGTGTTACAGTACAGTCTCTTCAATAAGGACAGTCTGTAATAAGCCCTCAGAAGACACGTGTCTTCTGAATACACAAGAATTTATCACCACTCCACCAAACTACCTCCTAGAGAATCGCCCTGAAACTCCTGGCAAGCCCCAAGGCTAAATCCATGGTGTGAATGCAGCAGAGATAAGAACTGGTTCATCTGCCTAACCTCTGCTCCCTTCTTACAAGTCTGGCAAATGAGAGACAGAGAGAGAGGAGAGGAAAGGAGGAGGAGGAGGATGAGGGATGGATAAGGAGGAGAAAGAGAAAAAGAGGAAATGCTATAAGCGCAGCTCTTAGCATGGAAAAGGGGGATGGTGAGAAAAGAGTTTACTTTTAAATGAAAATTCAAGTTTTCTTATTATCTGAATAGACATTCTCTTTATTGAATGAAGACAAGTAAGGAAAAGTGGTTCCAATTCTTTCCCCTATCTAAGGATGAACAGATATGTTTCATAGTTTGCCAAAGTCTGTATCCAGTAGTAAAAAAAATACTACCTTCACTCTGAGTACCAAGAAATCATAGAACACTGTCTGGTTTTTTTGTTTTTGTTTTTTTAAAGATTCATTTTATTTTTAGTGGAAAGTAAGATATACAGAGAGGAGGAGAGACAGAGAGGAAGATCTTCTGTCCGCTGATTCACTCCCCAAGTGGTTGCAACCGCCAGAGCTGCGCCAATCAAAGCCAGGAACCCGGAGCCTTTCTGAGTTTCCCATGTGGGTGCAGGGTCCCAAAGCTTTGAGCCATCATCAACTGCTTTCTCAGGTCACAAGCAGAGAGCTGGATGGGAAGCAGGGCCTCCAGGATTATATCCAGCGTCCATACGGGATCCCAAAGTGTGCAAGGTGAGGAGTTAAGCTGTTAGGCTACCACGCAGAGCCCAACACTGTGTTTTAAATAGAATTATGTCAGTAATCAAAGTTCTTGTATGTGCATCAATTCGAGCTGTGTAGGCAATGAGGCAAAAACTATATTTAAGCTGAGGTGTTCAGCACCAGTCAGTCCAAGAACACGAGTCAATTTAGGAGAGGAAAACTAAAGAGACCAAGAAAATTCTCTAAACTTACGGGGTTGCTAAATGACCCTGGGGATGTGTAGATGTGCACATCATTCCAGTTAGGAAATATAATCCCCATCCTAACTCACCTTTCCTTCATTCTCCATAGCTACTCCAATCTCTACTCCCACATCACTCAACAGCCCCTCTCCTTGCTGAATGCCCTGCCTTCGTTTGTCGGCATTTCATCCCCAGATCTCCTACTTGATCTTTGCTTCAACAAGATCTAACTCTAATCATTCTTCACTGTCTCAAGTGCAGCACAACTTTGCACATGTCATTCCCCAGCGTGTCAACACCGGGGCCCTCAGCAGGGCACTCAGTCTCCATCGGGTGCTCTCAATCCACTGTGACACCTTGCACCTCTGGCGTCACACACAGACACACATCACAAAGCCTCTTTCATGCTAGACTGCGTGTAGTTCCTCAAATGATTTGTAATGCTTGCTTCCATTTTAATTTACAATATACATCATACTTGCCTATTCCTTCACTAGTTAGTAAACTTTTGATGCCCTGTCTATAATAGATGTTTGCTCAACTGAATTAAGTGCAGCTGAATTATGTGCAATTTCCTCTGTGATTTAATTTTTCTAGAATATACCAATCTCAGATTTGATTACCCACTGGCCCGTTCTATTTCAACTGAAATGACTTAAAATAATAAATGTTATTAAGAATTCAAGAGCAATTTTTTTTAATTTATAGAGGTGAGATGTTTTAAAGAGCTTTTAAAATGAAATACTACTCTACATAATAGTTGAATTTTTTTAAGGTTAATTTATTTTTATTGGAAAGGCGTATTTACAGAGAGAAAGAGAGACAGAGACAAAGAGCTTCCATCCGCTGGTTCACTCCCCACGTGGCTGCAATGGCCAGAACTGAGCCAATCTGAAGCCAAGAGTTAGGAGCTGCTTCTTTCAGGTCACCCACTCAGGTGCAGGGTCTCAAGCCTTTGGGCCACCTTGTATCTCTTTCCCGGGTCATAAGCAGAGGACTGGAAAGGAAATGGAACAGCCAGAAAACAAAGTGGCACCCATATGGAATCCTAACATGTGCAAGGCAAGGATTTAGTGAAAAGCTTTCATGCCAGGCCTAATAGTTGAACTTCTTTCTTTTTTAGCCTATTAGATTTTTATTAGTAGTACTCTCTGAAAAATCAAAACAATTAGCAAACTATTGTAGATTCAAAACTGTATATTCTTTGTATTTAGACTTTTGATGATCTGCAGGCTTGAGTCCTTGAGCAGCCATAACAGGTACCTCACCTCTCCTCTCCTCTCCTCTCCTGCCAACTTTCAACAGACCCATTGCTTCAAGGACAAAAACCAAAGGTTCTTTAAAGTCATAGGATGTGGAGGCCGTTTGTGACACAACATAACCTGACTTATCTGACTGGTACAGACAGGCAAATCAGTGACTTAGCTTGCACATTTAATAGCTAATAAAACTGAATTTCGAAGAAATCAAGAGAATTGCCAGCATTGCAATAGCCAATTACTAGAAGCATACTAAATAGCAGAATCAGAATTTATCAACAGACTTTGTAACTTCAGTTCTTATTGCATGCATTTTAAAGGGAAAAATCGCATGTATTTATTTTACAGAGCATAATTTTATATGCCTATGCGTGTACATGCATATTTACACATGTATGTATAATTTTAGAGAAGATGTAAGATAAAATTAGT